TCAGGATCAACTCAAGAATATACAACAAAGACAACAATAAGGCTTAGACATCTTTCACTTAATAATTGAAAGCTTTGTTGTAGCTATTCGGGTTTTTCATCCATCTGGAGGGGATTTTTTTTTAAAGATAATTTATTTTGAATAACACCAAGTTTACAGAAAAAATTATTAGAACAGAACAAAAATGCATGCAGTGATTCCCATTCTTCGCGTTTTGTTGTGTTTGTTACGTTATCTATCTGTACCACTGTCATTACTCCTTTTAAGAGGAAGCAACATAGGATGTCTCATTATCCTTAATCATTCCAGTATATTTCTTCACCATACAAGGATACCCTCCTTGATAACCAGTATATACCCGGTAATTTTCCAATAAAGAAATCAACATTGGCACAAAACTAATGTCTCATTTGCAGACATCATCTAGGTTTTGCAAACTGTTCCAGCAATTTCTCTTTCCTTTCTGATTTAGGATTCTATCTGTGAATTCATAGATTGAATAGTTATTTGCTGGTATCATTTACTTGTCATTGTCTTCAGCTTGTTCCAGTGTTCTTAGGAATCACATATATTAGATATTACAAAATATTAAATAGTATCACATAAATAAATGAGGCTATGCATACATGGTTTATTAGCCTGTATGTATATTTCATGATTACAATGTTTATTTGAAAAAAAATCTTCTTTATTTTAAAGAAGAAAGTGAATCACACAGATGCATCTCAAACATAATATTTGCTTCCAGGATTCAAATTTCTTCATTGAAATTAAGTTTTTTCAGTCAGTTACATATTTAAAACCCAGAAGCATCAATAGATTTTTGGAACAGTCTTGTGACCAAATATTTAAAAAAGCTTTACCAACTAAGAGATGCAAGGGGATACCCCAGGCCTCGCAAAGTGAACTTTTATTAGGACATCCACCAACTTACCCACACCCAAATATCACCCCTTTTAGTCAATGGAATGGTTTAAATCTGATGTAGTTATTTCATATGGAAAAACATTTATATTCAGATTTGCTTAAGGGTTTTGGTGAAGGTTGTAATAAAAAGGCACACTCAATTTGTTAGGGTGATGTATTGCTAGGCCAATCTATGTTAATAAAAACCTGGAAGACAGAGATGGTATCTTCTACCAGCTCTGTCAACTACTCTTGCAAAATCATTTCAGAGACATGTTTTCTGAGATGGCAACTTCTGGAATGTCCATTTGTGATGGATTGGTAGAGTGTGGTAGGGAATTGATTGGTTTAACACTCTGCCCAATGGTTAATACAACAACATTGTTACAATTGGCACACACCTGACACTCACTTGGCATTCAGGTAGACAGATTCTGCTACTGAGATTGTGGTTTGAGCAGCATCAACTGAGAAACAACATTGGCCCATATCCAGCTTAAAATTAGACATGGTTTCTTTCTGGTATTTTTGGAAATGAATAAATGTGCATATTTGTACCTTTTTTAATTAATAAATCATTTTATTGGAGGTTCTTACAATATTTGTACCTTTTTAAAGCAGACCTGCTTATCACTCAGCTCCATACTCACATGCTGACCCAATGGGCTTGTTGTTGTTGTTTTTTTGTTGTTTTTGTTGTTTGTTTGCCTTTAAATGAAATTGTTTATCCAAAAGCAATATACCCTTTGCATGAATTGGAGAGATGTGATGGCATGACCTTTCCCATTCTTTGGCAGCTCCTCTGAACTCCCTACTCCCAACTCCCAACTCCCAAATCCACAGGATTCTAGGTTAGAAAATAGCAAAAATAAAACAACCTTAGGTGTGTCTCCTGCTTCGTTTACATGGTTATGAAAAATTATAGGCCAACTTTGTTCTTAGGATCTAAGTTTCTACTCTCAATTCACTCTCTTCCCCCACTGTACCTTCTACCTCAGATACTATATCGTCACCATTATCGAATGATATAGACACCAAGGGACCCTGTAGAGCAGGGTAGCACCGCCCCCTGAGAGTTTCTGAGACTGTAACTCTTTAAGGGAGTACAAAACCTAGTCTGTCTTCCAGGGCTTGACTAGTGGTTCAAACTGCTGACCTTTCAGTCAGCAGCTCAGCATTTAATCCACTACATCACCTGGGCTCCTTCAAATGCTATACAGGATGAGGCTTTCCAAAGTAATCAAATGAAAATTCATGTTTTACAAGTTCACTAATGCCACTTTGAAAAGCACCCATTTCCCCCAATGTTCTCAGGTAGCATGTGCTGGCAACCATAGCCGTAACCCTTTAATTAACGAATTAGATTAGGAACTATACCCGCCCCCCCAGGTCCTCCCCCGAGCCTGCAGCCCTGTAGTGTGTCCTATAGTTTTTAACAACAAGATCTAAAAGAGAATCAAAACCACCAATCTTATCTGCTTTCAATCAACTATACCTCGAGATGCCTTTGCTTCTAAAGAGACCAGCACTAGGGAGGGTCGGGTGGGTGCACGGCAGCCCAGCGGGGAGGCCAGGCCTTCTCGCAGGTGTGGGGCTGCACCCAAGCTGCACTAAGCTCCATCTCTGGCAAGCAAAGCCACGTGTCACGGATATGCGTGTTGGAACCAGGGTGGCATGCGACAGCAGGCTGCGCAAGGGGCTTCACTTGGCCTGGTGCAGCCTGCCATGGCTTCTGCCCCCTCCCTCAACTCCCCAGTTTCCAAAAGACTGCAGTAGTGGGGGGGGGGGGTGAGGGAAGCCCAGGGCATCCTTGGAAACATCTAGAGAAATCCAGGGCGGGTGGAAGGGCACAGAGAGTGGAGACGTCTCCGCAGAAGGACGAGCGGTGGGAACCCACGCAAGACTCCCCCGGGACTGGGACCTGGTCTGGAGAGGGCGGGGAGAGCAGAGCACGGGCCCCACAGAGGAGGGCTTCTAGGGGGCTGCATCTGGAGCCCCACCCCACCCCCTGCGTCCCTTTGGGCCATCAGCCTTCCCGACCCCTGCCGCCCACAGTGCGGGCTCTTCAGGGAGCGGGCGCCTAGGGAAAAGGAAATACTGGAGCTGGCACTGAGCCTCTGGATTCGGAAAATGAACCCCCTCAGCGACCCCTTTCATTCTATGACGTCATGGAGGTGTTATGCAGCCCCTCCCAGAGCCCCTGGGGGCCGCCCCTCGGGGTTCCAGCAGAGGTTCTGCACCCACATCACAAAATGCTGCAATCAGGCTGCCTGCGTCTCCCAGGACCCCGCATCCTCACGGTCTGGCCCACCATACACATGGTACCCTCTTTCGGGCTTTCTCTCCTGTACACCCACGAAGGGCTGAGCCCTGCTTTGTCAGCCTAGGGCTGCGGTGGCCAACTGCACGGACAAATGTATTTGCTTTGCCACCTCTTCCTACAGCTTCCGGGATATCCCCATGGTTTCTGGAACTATTTCTGGAAAGCTTTTCTTTGAAGGGGGTAGTTGTCTTTTCCCTTCCCCCCTGCAGGTTTAAGAAATAAAGTTGGCCCACTCAGCTTTTAACACTCCATACGAGAAGCTAAGGTTTGGGTTTGTTGCTGCTGTTGCAGAATAAAAGGGAGCAAAACGAGCATCTAGCAACGTTTAGCAAAGAAATAGTCCTGTTATCATTCATGAACTGTCATCCATATCACCTTGCAGCCAAGAACAAAACACAGCTGCCGAAGTGCGTCCTTCCGGAGCGAAGCCCACTGCTTTTGCTTGGGTTTGTGCCTGGCCATCAAAAGACCCGGGCGATGTACGTGTGTGGAGTGGTGTGGAGTGGGGTGGGGTCGGGTATGGTGTGGAGTGGTGTGGTGCGGTGCGGTGCGGTGCAGTGTGGAATGGTGTGGAGTGGAGTGGAGTGGTGTGGAGTGGTGTGGTGTGGTGAGGTGTGGAGTGGAGTGGTGTGGAGTGGAGTGGGGTGGTGTGGCGTGGTGT